TTGAACCCTCACTCTTGGCTGCTCAGCAGTTCTGGTTCTGCAAGTTTGAGACTTTAAGCAACAAACAAACAAATGCTTGGGAAGAAAACAGAACTCTCTAAACTCTCGGTAAATAGTTTCAGAGTGTTTAAAGATAAGTATTTTGCAACTGCAGTTCTAGTTTGGCAGAGGAACATAAACATTTTTATAGGAAAAAAAAGTGCAGATAAGTGAATTCAAGGCTACTTTTGTGCCTCTTGATGATAAGTTCTTGCTAAGCTTGGCTCGGGGAAGGGTCATAATGAAGAACTGTTTTCAGCAGCCCGGGTGACATCTGATTCATTCATCGCTGTCATCTATTCTAGGCTTTCCAGATTTCGTGTCTATAAACCATTGGAATGTTTTGAAAATTTCAGAGTCATCAGACTCAACTACCTATTCCAGGCTTCTGGGCACATTTAGGTGCTCGGTGAATGTTTGTTCAATCAGTGAGCCAAGGAAGGAACATACCTTACCCCTAAATGTGGCAAAAAAGAGAGAGTCCCTGTTTAGATCTTATATCCTATTTTTTCTTATGATAAATTCTGCATCCAGTAACATTCTAATTTTTTATTCAATCACAAAAAGCTTTAAGACTAGGGGCTGTGATTTTAGCTGATATAGAATTAAAGGAAAGGGAATCTTGCCGGTTACTAGTAGGTGAACGTTGGGGCAAGTTATTAATATTCCACCGATTTGTGTTTCCATTTTCTTCTCTACAAAATGGAGATAATAATAATGGCAACTCTCTGACCAGGCTGTAGCAATGATTAATTGATGCTAACGCAATTAGAGAGCTTAGCACACTGCCTAGCACATAATAAGTTCTCAACAAATGTATACTGTCATCCTTATCAAGAGCAGAGATACTAAAAAGACTACAGATTTTTGTTAGCATATTGTCTTATTTTCCTAGGGCTTCCACTGCAAAGTACCACAAACTGGGTGGCTTAAAACAACAGAAATTTATTCTCTCACAGTTCTAGAGGCCAGAAGTCTGAAATCAAGGTGTCAGCAGAGCCACACTTGTTCCAAGACTCTAGGGAGGAATCTGTCTTTGCCTCTTCTAGCCTCTGGTGGCTCAGGCGTTCCTTGGCCTGTGGCAGCAAAACTCCCATCTCTGCCTCCATTGCCACAAGACCTCTTTTCTGCTTGTCTGTGTGCCTCCTCTTCTTATAAGGAAACACTCACTGGATTTAGGGCCCACCCTAATCTAGTATGACCTCACCTTCATTAACTACATCCGCAAAGACCTTATTTCCACACAAGGTCACGTGCTGAAGTTTTGGGTGAATGTGAATTTCAGGGGGACACTATTCAGCCCACTATAGCATTCAACCTCCAAAATTAAAGATAGAAATTTCTATAGCCACTCTGGGTCTGTGATTAATATTTTCCCTCTTGCTTAAAGACAGGGAAGACACAGGGAGAGCATGCTTAAACATAGTGAACTGTCTCTGATTTTTGGTGAGCAATAAAAGTGGCATTGAGAATCATAAACTTCTTGAGCGTTTTAGAGCTTGACTACCTAAGAAGGAATATTTTTAGAGAAAGCTATCTTTGGCATGACTGAGCAACCATCCATTTGGTCCCCAGCACTCCTGGGGATGAAAGACCCCCAGTTAAGACTTCTATGCAGGCTAGGGTGATCCCCTGCTCCTAGATGCATCCACAGCCTCAGCCAGTGGGCTGCCCAGGGAGCTGCCAGGGAGTGGACCTGTCCCAGCTGAGATGAATTGCTGCCGGCTGGTGAACATCCTGAGAAGACGGGATCCTGCACAGTCATCCTTAGACAGATGAAGTGACTGCCTATCTGGTCAAGTGTTTCAAGGGTTTCCAGAATGCCCTTGTGCTGTCTCTAAAACATGAAATGTTCCCCTGTCTGTGCTCCTGTCTAAGATGCAAAACAGCCCTGGTGAGCTGACACTTTAGCGGGTGGTCAAATCTTTAAGGATCCACTTGAAAGAGGCCCTGGAAGCAGTGCTTGATGAGAGGTTAGAGGACGGCAGGCAGGGCTTTCTAGACTCTATGGAATTGCTGGGGTACTGGCTCTAAGTGCGTCATCTACAGAGCGGAAGAGTCATTACTGCAGGCCTGCGTGAGGCCAGGCCTGCTTTCCTGCGTCCAGGCCAGAGGCAGTATGCGGTAATTTGATTACAGATTCAGCTGTGTACTCAGGGAAAAGAAACGGAGCTAGGGAACATGGTCTGGAAAGTAGAGGGAGAGAAGCAGAGACGTAGGTAGGTGTAAACATAAAGAATGTGCTCATGGCAGAGTGATGGGGAGGAGGAGGAGGACGAGAAACAGGAAGAGGGAAGAAGAGAGAAAAAGAGAGAGAATGCAAACAGTGTGGGCTGTTTGTTCTCCTGACTGGGCTGATCCCATGCAGGGGGGGAGACCTGGCTGATCTGTCCCGGTGGGTCCAAAGCCTGTCCTAGTGCAAGCCTCTCACGTGGCTGAGTGTGATACTGCGTCTTGAGGTTCTTGCTCCAGTGCCCGTCTGCATGGGGACTGCTTTGGATGCTTGTGCAAAAACAGGTTCTGTTACGTGAATTGAGAGACGGATTTTCAGGGCTAAGGAGATTGCGTGCAATCTTCGCCTGACGTGCTACTCCATTCCAGATAGTACAACTAGATGGTACAACAATTTCTAGTGAATAGCTAGCTATTTTCTGACCCAACACAGTTAGTGCTCAAATACCTGGGGCAAGAACTCTGTCTCCTACTATTGCTTTTCCAAAGAAGAAGAAAAAAAGTGATGAAGTTAGAGGTAATATGTCACTGTGTGAAGATTAGAAAAATTATAGCTAAGCAAAAAAGAAATTTAAAAAGACAGGTATTCTATCCTCCTGCAAAAAAATAACTACAGTCAACATTTTGGTGTGCCTTCCCACGGTTTAATTTCCTTACCTCTGTCTGTGTGTTTTCGATTTTGTACACACATGTAATCAGGCTACGTGTGGTAGGTTGAGACTTGCTTCATTCACTTAGCAAAAACTGTGCACATTTTTCCATGTCCACAAGCATAGGCCTATAGCATCAAAGGAAGGCCAGAGAGGGGCTTTCACAGAGCGCATTCTTTGGCCAAGTCACGTGGCCTCCCGTTCCAGAGCTGGGCTGTTTGGCCGCGCGCCAGTGTGAGGGGTTGTCATGGGAACTGCTGTGCAGGCGCCAGGCTACCTGGGGCCGGGTGTGGCGTGAGGCCCAGAGCGGAGGACGCACGAGGCTGGGAGACTCACATGGATTATCCTCCTGGTACATGGAGGAGCTTGTTTCAGCACAAATAAGCTCTCACGGATGGTCGCACGATTCCTCCAAACCAGCACCCCTGTCATTCTCCCAAGTCAAGCAGATGCTTGACTCCCAAGGATGCTCACGATTACCTTCCAAATATGTTTTGCCATCTTTTATTTTAATCTTTTTTTTTGATTAAAGCCACTAATTGAATCAAATGTGAACTCATCCTACTAAACTGAAGCAAAAGGAATATTTGCATGTCTTTTGTGTGGACACGTTGGAATGACGTCAAAAGGAAACACAGAGGCTTCATTTAACGTGATCTCCAACGTTGGCTAAACGGAAGGAGATATATACTCCTGCCTTTCTATTCATGAATGTTGCCTCTTAACCTCCAGAGGTTTGGCGTGAGTCCTGTGTTTAACCTAGCTCTCCCAAAATAAGGGGATCGTGATTTTCTTTAAATTGGTACTTACGTAGAGGAATCTCTGAGGCTTTAGTGCTTGCTTGATTGCATTCAGACGTTACTTTGGCGAGGAAATGACTGCATTAAATTAGCATCAAGCACAATAAATGGTAATTGCAAGACTGTCATTTCTACAAGTGCAAAATTAATGTGTTCTGCAAGCCCCTTCCATTGTGTGCCACGGGGAAATCATGGCACCCTGTTGTTCCGAGCAGAAAAATGCCCTGTAACAGCACTGTTAATGTGCTGTGGTATTATTCGGCAATGGTATTCCTTTCCACCTTTGTCGTCGTCTCACGCTCATCCTTCAAACCCTGCCTGCCCTAATTTGTATGCTCATATTATAGCACTGCCAGACAGTAGCCTGGATGTACAGAGAATGTGATGGAACAATTCCTCCTTCTGTGTGCAGCATCTTGTGTGAATAATGCCAGCCTAAACAACCTCCACGTATTCATGAGAGTGTGAATAGGCTACTTATGTAAAGCCTCTCATTAAGAGATGCACCAACCATTTACAGGAAACTTTACCCAAATGCTATACATTCATTAGAAAGAGAAGAGTGATTTCACATGCATTTCAACTGCCGCTTAGGAAAAGTGCCAGCTTCTCCTCTCATCATCCCTCTTGTTTACATATGGGAAATTAAGTCACAGATAGTGACTAACACAGTACTGACAGATGCTCTGAGCTGACCAATGAGATGAGGTATTTCGATATTCCTGCAGTCAAGCTTAGGCTGAGAACCACTCGTAAAGGCATCCTGAGTAAGAGTAATAATGATGACAGTGACAAAGACTGACCAAAGGAGCTTCCTTGCAAGTATAGATGGAGTCCAGTCTCTTACTTAGCACCTGTGGTGGCATGAGGGGCGTCGAGACGCTGGGCTGCATTGGCTGATTTACTGCAGCAATCAATCGATCAATCGATCGATTGGAGATCCTGATGTGGAGGGTCAGGTTTGACTTCCCCTTTCAGAGGCCACTTATCTTGTCACTTACGACATGAGTGGTGAGGCTGTCTGCTTTGTAATGTTTCAGTCGGTGAATAATTTGCTGGAATCTGGGGGAAATTCTGCACCACACTCAAAACTTCTCTTATCAAACAAAAACGATTAGGGAATGATTTGGGAAACTTCCTACCTAAGGTGGGAGAACAATTCTGATCACCTTAACCTCAGGATAAAATATACCTTGTTTATCAGCTGAAAAATCATGAAATAGAAGATCCGGGCTTCAAAAGGTGTGCAAAATGGCTCTGGAAAGTGGTTCTGCCTTACCTTTGTTGCAAAAGGTTCCGTCGTATGCCGTGTTGGAGCAATCGCAGGAATAGCCGTGGTACTTCTCTATGCATTTGCCTCCGTTTTCACAGTTCGCTCCGTAGCTGGTGCAGTGGCCCGAACATCCGGATATGAACCCGGATGTGACCTTTGCCCTTTCCTCCAGGTCGAGTGTCACTCCATTCATCCTCAGGGAACGGATGCATCCCAGGAAGCCCTGCTGGCCCCCAGCGCCACCTGGGAATGACAGAAAGCACGAAATTCAGATGGAATACACCCTGCTATTGCCTCTGATTCATTCATGGTGTTTTGATCAGCTGTGGTAGGAGACGAGACTGCTTAGTGCATCTGGTATTGTCGCTTTCAAGTTGGTCCTGTCCACATAGAAAAGCTTGAAGCTTTTCCCCCTCAGGCTGTACTACCTAATTAAAAGAGTCTGTCTTCTGAGAAGTAATACATCTGCTACAAAAAAAAAAAAAATGTTTGGAGATACACAAAAATTACATAAGCTGTTTTGGAAGTCTAATCTGGCTTCCTATAGAAAGGAGGTTTATGGAAATCTCTAGGTTCTCTGCCCTTTAATCTCACAACCTTCAGTTCTGTAGCATTGTCTATTGGAAGAAATATAAAACGGCAGAGAGACATGAATATATTGGCATAGTTAACCAGTCAATTAGTCAGAAGGCATAAATCCATTTGAAATGGAATTGTACATCTTGGTTCTTGTTTCATGAAATGCTTTGCTTTGAAGTTCATGTTAAGGGTGTCCAGGGCTTCTTGTCTGGGATAGCCAGAAGTTGGAATTGATGATTTTACACAAAAGTTAGCTACACCACATTTATTACAAGGTTAGTACAGATTTCATTGTTTTTGTCTAAATGTCATTGCAAGACGTGTGGCACAATGAGCACATTTACTGTGATTTTTGGAGTAAGTTATAGACACAGACTGAGGTTCATGAGCATGAAAATATTAAAATATTCCTAACAAATTTCATAGAAAGATTCACTGAAGCATTATATTACAAGTGGATTTAATTGCATCTGTAATAGCCTTAGCTGTGATTTTTTAAAAGCAGTTGGTATATATAAAAAAGAGGAATTCAAATTTATGTCCACATCTTAGACTAACAACTTTTCTGGAAACTGATCTAAAATGAATAGTAGGTCAAATTATTGAAAGAAATGTCTGATGAAGATTTAGAGAAAACGATACTGCCATTAAAAATAAAACCCAAGTTACTCTTTTATTGAGGGCTATGTGCTAGGTACTAAGCATCTTGTATATCTTATTCACCTGATCCTCACAATAAGCTGTCAACTCAGGTGTTATTTTCATCATCCCCATTGTACAGATGAGAAAACTGAGACTTAGAGAAGTTAATAAGTTTGTTCAAGAACTCACAGCTCTTGTGGTGATATGGAAAATGTCAGGCGCCAGGGCACGGCTGCGTGGGCATGCTGCTGGGCCCGGGGTAGAGCTGCCAGCCCCCAAATGCTGAAATGCCCCCCGGGCCCACGTACTGCTGCCTCCCACCACGCTGTTTGCGTGATCCTGATTGGGTAATTTTTTGAATCCCACTGTTGTTGATTGGATGTTAAAGCTTGTTGCTGATTGGATGTTAAAGCTTGTTGCTGATTGGATGTTAAAGCTTGTAGTTGATTGGATGCTTTTTGAGTCCTACCAAGGGTATAAAAGTAGGAGGAGACCAGGGAAGGGGGGCGGAAGGGTCAGAAGATCGGAAGACGCAAAGAGAGCTGTAACACTAGGTGTGCTGAGCCTGCTGTGGAAGAATAAAGGCTGTTCTTCTGCTCTTCGTGTGCCCCTCGGCTCTTTCCCCGTCAAGAGCTGTAACACTAGCTGTACACAATACCGCAACAGTGGCAATTGTATCAGATCTTCATCTTTCAGAGCTTACGGTCTTAAACTCTGTTCTGCGTTGACTGTCTAATACAGACAAGAACTTTTGGGTCAGGGGCCCCACAGATGCATGAGTTTCTGGGATGTAGATTTGGATGCCTTTAAAAATGGAGTAGTCCATTGGTTTGTTGGAGTTTGGGTAAGACTGGTGGGCCAGTGATTGATTCCGGTCACTTAATCCTATTATCCTGAGGAAAAGTGTATACACCAGTGGACTCACCAGGCAAGACTGGGAGACAAAGACTTACAGGGAGAGATGGATTAACATCTGCCTGTGCCCATAAACTCTCATCAATGAAATGGCAAATGAACTGCTCTATGGTCTTTATAAACCCAAGCCATGAGGTTCTCTCCTTGGGTGGTATCTTGATTTGAACTGATGATTCTTCAGGGAATATCTTATTTTTTTAATAAAATTTTTCAATAGAGGATTAACTGAAAAGAGTCCAATGCCATTTTTGATCAAAGCTATGAGATAGTAGATGGCAAGAGAAGTTATTAAAAACAACCCACTTTGAAGGATTTCCCATTTTTTCATCTGCTTGTCAGCTGGGCTTCACACCTGTGTGCAGAAGAGAATTAGGAAGAATTTCAACTCATTAGTCACTCTTGGTGTGTTGGAATTTTAATTTGGCTTCTATCATTTTAGCCACTGTGGCTTTTGTTCTTGCTCTCCAAAGGGCCTTTTATTAAATAAATGCCTAGTTATTTAAATTTTTTATTACTGGTCAATTAAGACAATTATATCCTATCAAAAGATGCTGCACTTTTTAAATCACTATTTTTAGATCTCCCTCTCTCCTTTTGCCTTATTACCAATGTCATAGGTTTTCATGTGGAAACCATGGACATATTGACAAGCAAAATACAAAAGAGAAACCGTAATGCTACCCAGATATAACTACTTCCGCTTTTAGGGAATAGTCTTTTCTACTTTTATCTATAAACATACATATGTGTAAAAAGGAAGAACTGAGTGCATAATATATACATTGTTTTGAAATTTGCTTTTTGCACTTAATATATCATGAAATATTTTCTTTTTTTTTTTCACAAATAGGACTCTTTGTTATTAAAAGTCTGAATGTTAAACAGATTCTTAGAAGGGTGGTACATATCCACCAGCTCATTCAACTTTGGCACCTGTCTTGTCACCAGTAGCTTTTCCAGAACTACTACCTTCCCCATGAAGCTCCATGAGTTTCCCCAGTTCAAACTTGGGCTTCTTCAGCATTTTTACTTTTCTAACAAAGACATCATGGGGAGGATAAATAGATCAGCAAGTCTTTTCTATGTCTTTTCCAAAGCTGTCTGGAATCAATTTATTGACTACTTCTTTCAGTCATTTGTCTGCACCTCTCCGGTCATGATTTTCATCGTCTTCTTGTGGATTTGGCAGACCTGTTGGTGCTGAACATGAGGTCTTCCATATCTGATTGTTGCTTTTTTTTTTTTTTTTTTTTAGTAAAACCAACACAGAACAGATGAAGCAAATAACCATCGGTAATCTTGAAATCAACATGAGTGTCAATCATAGCCTGCCATTTTTAAACCATGGAACACATTTTGTCATGGGTAAGGTCCATGCCATGAAAATTAGTCAGGCAGTTTTTGCCCTGAACATCTTCAGTAATCAGCTTGAATTTTCTAAATGCAACTTCATCATTTTGCAGATGAGCAAGGCTTACTTCAAACACACGACCCTTGAGACCATCGGATGCAATTTTCGTTTCTTGAGTCCTGGTAACTAGTGTTTTCCCAATATTTCTTATATTGAACATAGCAAGAGCCTTCACATGATACCAGTCTTTCTTAACCGCTTTCTTCTTGGCTCCCTTTTTGCCTCCTTTTGTAAGGCACTTGTTCTTGCCAACCGCCATGGTGCTGCTCCAATACATCATGAAATATTTGCTAATCAATCAAAGTACAACTAGAACATTTTGTTTAATATCTACACTCCGTTCTGTGAATGCACTATCACTTTTATTTTTTATTTTTTGCTATTTCACTACCAATGGACTTTTAAGCTTTTTCCAATTTTCATTTTATATGATATAATCTTTATAAAAACCTTTGTAACACCATTCCAGTCTTTTTCTTAGAATTGATTTCTTAGAATTAGTTAATTACACTTTTAGGTGTAAGTGCTGGGTTCAAAGGCATCTTACATTTTAAAGGAATTTGAAATGTATCTTCCTCTGGAAGAGTTTACTAATTTATATTTCACCAGCAGGGTATAAGATTACCACCTTCTCCACACCAATTCAGATACTGCTCAGTATCCTTTTGAGTTTATGCCAATCCAATTGACTGAGAAAAAAAAAGGTCCCTCTTTTAATTTGCATTGCTTCAGATACTGTGAGTTGAATAATTTTTATATTTTCTTTTCTTTTTAAAAATTATTTCTTCATGTCCTGTGCTTTCTGCAGAGGGCAGGGGGAGGAGGATGTATTTCTTAATGATTGATAACAATATCTTAGGCTTTAACTCTTTGTTATCAATGTTACAACTATAACCTTTCAGTTTGTGTCTTTTAACTTACACATGTGTTTCTTTTGCCCCATGAAAGCGTAGATGTTTATGTAGTCACTTGGATCTGTCTTATTTGTGTGATTTCTGCCTTTGGTAACAGGCTTATAAAGACCTTCTCTAATACAAAATAATATAATTTATTTAACTATATTTTCTTCTAGCACTTTTGTGATTTTACAGACAGATTAACCATTAATCTGTCTGTCTGGGATATATTTTAATTTGAAAATAATTCATATTTAATGGATCCTCAGTAATGATTGAGAGTTTGAAGAAAAGATTTTTAAGAGACTCTAAGTAAATGTTAACATGACAAAGAATGGAGATTTTAAAAGGGTCAATTGGCAGAGCAAATAAATCTAGATTAGATAATATTTTATTATATCATTAAGGCAAAAATTTAGATGTATGTATGTGTACTTAATTATTTATGCATATAGGGCTCATTCCACAAGGGATTTTGGGGGGCAGAGTTTTCTCATTCTGCCTCTGTCTTGGGTCTTGAATCTTTCTGAGGTTCTACATCTGTCAGTTTCTCTTCCTGTATTTGTGTTTGCGGATCTCTCCCTACTGGGACTGTTGACTGTTTCTAGTTCGTGGTGTGGCTTCCATCAAATAGCTTAATCTCTCTCAGCATCAATTTTCCCATCCATAAAAAAGGAGAAACAAGATGTTTCCAATTCCTTCCAGCTCTAAATTGCTCCAGCTTATGAGTTACAGGCTCTTCCTTTGTGCTTACGTGTCTGCCCCTCCATATTTCAGCAAATACTGTCAGTTTCTCTTAA